GCGGGGTCCAACCTGGGTATGTCGTCACCCTGCAAAATATTTTTACCTAAGCAGGTCAATTTTTCCTTAATTAAGTTAATTTTCTCTTGAATTAAGCAGGTGAGTGAGGCACTTTGCAAATGGAATAAGACTATTTACATTTCAAATAAGACAAACAACAGTTGCAGTCTCTTATTTCAAGTGCATAATATCTGATTATCTTATTTTAGGCCTAAATGTACTCATTCCATTGGCAGATCATCTTATTTACCCACTCAAATTAAGGGCAAATACACTTATTTTAAGAATTTTTTTTTTTATAAGTCTATCTAATTTCTAGATCGTTTTTGCAGTGCAGTCCATCACAGTGAACAAAGACCTTTATATTTCTAATCAGTTTACATGTATTGTTAAGCATTTCCTTTTATATCCAGTATTGTGTTTAATAAAAGTTATCAATTACTGTCAGACATGCTGCTGGATATGAAGTCTGAGCGCACAGAGATAGAATAAAATAGAATACAGCAGCAAAAAGATTATAGAACCTTAGAAAAATGTATAATGTATAATATAATAGTGTAGATTTAAAAGATAAACAATAAAATACTGATCTGTAAAGTGTTATAATTATATAAACCGTGCACCTGGAGAATAAATAACCAATATACAGCTATGGACATTTTTATAATAGTTGATATCTGAAAAAGCAGCAACATCAGAGATGTGAAAAATGACAGTGTTAGGAATCCAGTCTGTGTGGGTTGTGTTTTTGTGTTTTCTCCCTCCACCACCAGGTGGTGCCTTGTTCTCATTGGTCCTCCCACACACCTGCGGCTCATTACTGAGGACTTCTTAAGCGGTGGACTGTCACTACCTTGACGCCAGAGTGTTTGCCAGTTTTGGGTACTCTAGCCAAGCTGAGTTTAGCTGAGCCTAAATGAGTCTTTTGTTTCTCTAAATCTAACGTTGTTTTTGTCTTTTGCCTTTCGGCAGGAAGTCATCCTGCATATTCGGATGTTTGGCCTTCTCCCCCTGGAAGGATTGTTTGAGTTTCACACTGAGCAGGGCAATAATCATCCCGCTCACTGAGTTCCCGTGAATCCAACCCAACTGTACTCCTCAATAAACCTGTTAAACTTTTATTCTGGTTTCTCTGAGTGGTTTTCTGTATGTGGGTCAGATCTCTTAAAAACATTGTGACAGACAGCAGTATGTTATTTAACTGACTAAGATAGAAACTGTGCAAAATCAACATGAATGTAACAACTTATTGAGGTTGTTAGGAAGGAACAGTGGTGGTTATAGAGTCTTACAGATGTTGGGAGGAAGAATCTGTCATAGCGCACCCTGGTGCATATATGGTACAGCAATCTGTCACTGACGGAGCAGGCACTTATGTGTACGACATGATGGGTCTCGTGGTAGGAAATCTGCGTGTGTAAAATGTTTAAAATGCATGTGGAGAGCAGTTTAGGTGAATTCTGACCCCATTTAAATCTACTAACATCAGATGTGTTATTTTAGAATTACAACTTACCTGATCTAGATTTTGGGAAATATTGACAAGCGATGCTGTAAAGGAACGGCTTTTTGCTACAAGTCACCATGACGTTTCATCTGTAGTAAACATAATGATATGGAAAATGATTGCTGCCACTTAAATAAAATAATGGCCCATTCATGTCATAATTTGACTTCAAAATCATTACAAGACATAGTCAGGATTTCGAACTTGGCAGAAATGTGATGCCCTACAAAAAGGAATTTTTTATATTCTTGTGTATTCTATAACTATTGCATAATATCTTGGAATTATGAACACCTACTGGCCTGTTCCATTTCTTTCAGTAAACAGAAAAAAACACATCAACTGAAAGTAGAATATCCTGCCTCCTCAATAAATGTTGGATTTTTTTGATTTCCAATAAATAAATAGAAAACAGAGGAAATAACAAAAAGAAAAGATATAAACAACAAAATGCGGATTTAATTGAGAACTGAGTGGATATTCTTATAAATTATATATCTTTTTATATTAATCCATCTATGAAAAAGGAAGTATTTCTTTTTTTTTTTTTTCAAGTGTTGAAATTATAATATTATTATAAATTTTTTTGCTTCTTTTGAAATTAGTATCTATTTTGTAATGTCTGATCTGGGCCAAAACCCAGACAGGAGTGTTGAAAGAAAGATGGTGAATTTTGATAAAAACCAAGAACAAAAAAAACTTGTAGTGAGGCATGAAGAAAGCATGACAAAAACAGGGCAAGATGTTATGTTAAAAACCAGCAGTGAACTATGGAGGACTATGGAGTACGAATCAACTAAAGTAAAATGACCCAAACTGACCTCACCAGAAACTAACAACCCAGATAGAATCAGAACCCCCCCCCAAAAAAAAAAAGAAACCAGAAGAGATCCTTAAAAGCTACTGAAGATCCACAGCTGGGATAGGAGAGCTCATCGACAGAACCACTATAAACAGTGAAATTTACAGATCAGCCTTTTTTTCCCTGAAGATTGAAAAACAAAAACATCACATTGTTGGGAAAAATGAAAACATACAGCATGTTCTCACATACAATTTACATATAAGATATCATACATAGCATAAACAAACTTTCCACATGGCAGACCAATTTGTCCTTCCATTCCCAAATTCATGTTCATATATATATGTATATATATATATATATATATATATATATATATATATATATATATATATATATATATATATATATATATATATATATATATATATATATATATATATATATATATATATATATATATGTAATATATATATATACGTATATATACATATATATATACGTATATATGTATATATATATTATATATATATGTATACGTATATATATATGTATGTGTATATATATATGTATATATATATATATATATATATATATATATATATATATATATATATATATATATATATATATATATATATATATGTATATATATATATACATGTATATATATATATATATACATAGGTATATATGTATATATATATTATATATGTATATATATATATATATATATATATATATATATACGTTTTGGAGTATTAGGCTACAAAAAAAAACTTCGAGGGGGTGAATACTTTTGTGAGGTACTTTGCTGGTAAAAAAAAAAACGCGCACATTTAGATTTCTGACTCCAGGTGAACAGTGTGGTGTACCTGTGTTTTTTTTTTCGCCATGACAAACCGTTCAGAGGTAACCCTGTAAAACATTCAGACATGATGTCCTCCCTCAAACGTGAGAAAACTGTTGGCAAAGGATGCAAAAGCCTTTAGGATGGGGGTGGGGGTGGGGGGGTTACTATACACCTGCCAAGGAAAGTGTTGGAGAATCGGCTATGCTTCAAAGCCAATTGCTTTTAAGAAGCCGGGGCTTGATTTATTTGACTTAAGATATACTTTTTTGTGTTTCATTGTGAATGAAAATTTCATACACCGATTTAGAGGTGGTGAAATATAAATGATTCCTTTAAAGTTTCATCATAAATCAGTCTTGTCGGTAGATGTGAACAGACGCTGATCCCTCCTTGATGTCTCCGGAGCCCTGATCACCCCCCCACCTTCCAGCAGCCCCCATTTCACCCCCATTTCTTAAGGTGGCTCCAGCAGAGCCTGTTTGTCCCACTGGGGGTAACCGTGTCTCGCTGCTGCTGGAGAGCATTTCTGGATCTGCTCTGGCAGCACCAACAATCCAACAATGCAGCTGTGAGGAAATTCACTATATCTGTATATGGAAGGGAAACTGTGGGAGTGAGATCTAGTGTTTCTCTGCAGAAGCCAACAGAATCTCAGCACATTCTCTCTGCCAGTGTTATACTGAAGGCATGGACTGCATCACGAGCTGCGATATTTGCTCTGTTATGCTTTAAATCCTCACTAAGTAGATGCCGATCTCACCAAAAGAGCGGAACGCAATGAAATATAACAGTAAATAAAAACAAATAAAATACAACTAGAATAAAAAGTGTGTTTTAACTGGTAAGATCTCTAATATCTATAATATAAACATCAGAGGATGCGGGCAGATGCTTTCCATTAAAATAAAAATACTACTAACGAAATATAGAGATTTGTTTACATGGGAATTCAAATGATTTAAATGATAAATTAAATATAGAATTATTCTATTCCTGACACGTTGTAACTCGATCACCCTGCAGATCATCTTAAACAACTTAGACACTTCTAGTTAATTACGCCGTGATTAAATATTGTAATTACGTTACAGATAATGTGGTCTTAATTAGCGTAGAGATAAGATAATAGCCCGCTATGACAGGAATATTCATGTTTTAAAGTAGATGGTTTTTATTATGGTTATTATTTTAAATCAAAGTTGGGTTTCATGCTTTATAGCTGTAAAGGAAGGTGCAATTCTAGGATGACACGGGGAAAAATATCCAAAGTTTATTTTGATTTTTGCTTTTTTAAATCGAAAGAGATGAAGAAAATCAAATTTAACTTGTGACTACAGCATTTTTTTTGATAAATTAGTTTCCTTTTGGTTGTTTACGGTAAAATACAATCTGCACAATACAATAAAATTAAATAAAATAAGAAAATTTGAAAAATAGAAAATATATTTGCTCTTATTGTTGAATTTTAGTTACTTCTCTGTTCGCATTCCGAGGTTTAACGAAAAAAAAAAAATTCTTCAGAGCACAAAGAATGAATTTATTGGGGAAAAAACTTCGCTGTGGCTCATTAGAAGAGCTGTTGGTAACGAGGTGTTGGTGATGAAGTAGAATCATTGGAAATAAATGCCTTGTTGTAGACTGCCCATGCGCACAGTCCCCAGCGGCGGCGGCGGTGTGGCTAATGAAGAATAATAAATCATGAAAGGGTTTTTCAGGTGCAGCTGTGAGAGGAGTGTGTGTGTGTGTGTGTGTGTGTGAAAGAGAGAGAGAGAGAGACGAAGAGTGGAGGAGAGGGAGGGCGTCTGTGTGCGTGAGAGAGAAGGGAGAGAGAGAGAGACTCAGTCTGCCCTTCGCCTCAGAGCGCAGCCAGTTTGGGTCCCCGCAGCATTCAACCGAGTCGAAGAGGTTCAGTCACCAAGACCTTCCGCAGTTTTCCACACGGATTTTTAAAAAAACTAAAATTACCGATAAAGAGCAAGAATAGCGACTTCTAACTGCAAATATTTTGGAAATCCCGAAGAGAAACTTTTGATTTGCAGTTTTTTTTTTTTGGCATCTGTGAGGAGGAGCTGTTTTTTTTTTACTTGTTTTTTTTTATGTTTAAAAAAAAAAATCACAAAAAAAAGAACCAAAACAAAAATAATATTTGCCAAAAACAACCTGTCGGAGATTGATGGAGAAAGGCAGTTATTTTTGAAGATCGCGCCACATGTCCAGAAAGGAAGGGGCTTCAGCTGCAGCGCTCCACTCAGCAGAAATAAATGTGACTCGGTGTCGGAACGCTTGTTTTTTGCCTGAACGTTTTTTTTTTTTTTTTTTTTAATTAAACTCTACAGCGACTTGAGACTCCTGCCAAGCTATTGGACTTGAACTCCGAGCCGAGGAGGCGGAGTCTTAACTTATTAAAAAGGAACTTTCGGAGGTTCGGGCGCCAGCAAATATGATGATGATGTCTCTGAACAGCAAGCAGGCTTTCACCATGGCCCACACCAGCCTGCCCGAACCCAAGTACTCTCTGCACTCGTCCTCGTCCTCCACTCTGACTTCCAACGCGCCCTCGTCCTCCTGCTCGTCCTCCCGCCACAGCAGCAGCACCATAATCAGCAGCAGCGGCAGCAGCAGCAGCTCCGAGGTGATGCGCAGAGCTTGTCTCCCAACCCCACCGGTACGTATTCTGCATAATCACTGCTTAAAGGCACATTTTGACAGCCCACTTTTTTTTCCTGCTTGATGTTTTTTTTATGTCTGCACAGCAAATCACCCAACACCTCCATGTTTTTTTTCTTCCTCTGCTCAACTTATGTATTCAGTAGGCTTTGCCTTTGGTATAAATTTTTATGACCTGGGATGTTGCATGTGTCTTGTTTTGTGTGCTCCCCTTTTTTTTTTTGGATTTCTTTTTTTCCCCTCATTCTGGAAATGTTTTAAACCGAGGAGTGGAGGGAGAATTCCCTGCTGACAGTTATGTGTGCATTCTATTTGCAATTGCAGAGCAATATATTCGGAGGCTTGGATGAGAGTTTGTTGGCCCGGGCTGAAGCTCTAGCGGCGGTGGATATCGTCTCGCAGACCAAGAGCCACCACCACCCTCCACATCACAGCCCCTTCAAGCCTGACGCGACCTACCACACAATGAACACTCTGCCCTGCACCTCCTCTTCCTCCTCATCATCCTCGGTGCCTATTTCTCATCCGTCCGCTTTGGCTGGCCACCACCATCACCACCATCACCACCACCATCACCAGCCTCACCAGGCGCTGGAGGGGGACCTGCTGGACCACATCACCCCGGGACTCGCGCTGGGAGCCATGGCAGGGCCGGACGGCTCGGTGGTTTCCACGCCTGCGCACCCTGCCCACATGGCTGGCATGAACCACATGCACCAGGCGGCCATCAACATGGCTCATGCCCACGGGCTGCCGCCGCACATGGGCATGAACGACGTGGACGCCGATCCCAGGGACTTGGAAGCGTTCGCGGAGAGGTTTAAGCAGAGAAGGATCAAACTCGGGGTCACCCAGGCGGACGTGGGGTCAGCTTTAGCCAGCCTTAAGATTCCCGGAGTGGGCTCCCTCAGCCAGAGCACCATCTGCCGCTTCGAGTCCCTCACCTTGTCCCACAACAACATGATCGCTTTGAAGCCCATCCTGCAAGCCTGGCTGGAGGAAGCCGAGAAATCACACAGGGAGAAACTTAACAAGCCCGAGTTGTTCAACGGCGCGGAGAAGAAGAGGAAGCGCACGTCGATAGCCGCGCCGGAGAAGCGCTCGCTTGAGGCCTACTTCGCCATCCAACCGCGTCCCTCCTCGGAGAAAATCGCAGCGATTGCTGAAAAGCTGGACCTGAAAAAGAACGTGGTGCGGGTCTGGTTCTGCAACCAGCGGCAGAAACAGAAACGAATGAAATACTCAGCATGCGTCTAAAAAAAAAAAAAAAAAATCAAAAACAAGAAAAAATAAACACACAAAAGACTTGGAACTGATGAAAATGATTTGTATTATATTTCCTAACTCACGCCCTCTTTTTCAATCATCAGACTCTTTAAAAAACGAAAAGAAAAAAAAAGAACTAAAGAGGAACAATGACTGAAAAAAGAAAAAACTCAAACACCCACCACGACTCTGTCAGAGGGAGACGAGGAGTCAATAAGGCGTCGTTTGACGGATCAAGTAAGAACCACTGTTTCCACTTACTATGCCTCACCGGTTTTTATCTCTATTCCTTTTAAACGCTGATTGTCATTATTTCCCAACATTAGCAGCAGTTTTATTTATTTCCACGCAGAACGAGGTTGTTTTAATCAAAGCACTTGGTTAGTGTCGCAGATTTTCTTCCCTTGGAGTTCATGACAATGCAGTCTGACATTAATTCAGGTCTATGGGGGGATTAAGCGGACAGTTGGTTCTGAGAGCTGAGATTAGATTACTGCCAAATAACCTTCTGTAAATTATCACCAAACACTTCATTTTCTGTCTAAACTTGTTATTCCTTCCACTTGTTTTTATTTCTATAAATCAGGGATCTTTTCCTGGAGGTAAAGTTCAAACATGGTTGTTTTTAAGGCCTCGTGGCTAAAAGAGAAACATCTCTGCAGAATATTGTAATAACAGACTAAAATATATTTTCAATTTAGTGGCCATGTTTCATTTCCCCTCCAGCGTGGGCCGGCTGTCTTATGAACTATTTATTGAGTGAGGTCATGTTTACTTCATTATATATTTATTGGGAATCCCCCCCCACCCCAAACACACACACACACACACACACACACCTCCTCGTTTAGCTTGAGAAAAATCTAAGTCTGACAGCAGCTCAGCTTGTTGTTGTGCTTTAAAGGGAAGAGATGGAGTTTAAAAAGAAAATAACAGTCTCAGATTTGACGATTTTTTTTAAGATGGCACAATCGATATATATATGAGATTAAATTATCCTTTAAATTATTATTTTATGTATGTCTTTATTTCAATTTCCCTGCTGTTTATTTGTATAAATATGCGCGCGTCATGATGGAATCGTTGCTTGTTAAAAGAATCACCATGTTTTAATGTTTTATTTTTTCCTTGAAGAGAAAAAGAAACTGCTTCATGTAAGTATACGTGTACAATGTAAATATTTTCATTGGAATCAGTCGATGCACATAAATATATCCGTACAGGTTTTTGCTGTATTGCTGTTTAGCTGAGGTAATTTATTTATGTAATGTTTTGTTTATAATTTTTTTTTTTTGGTTTATTTGTTTGTTTCCCTGGTTAAATATTTCTAATTATTTATTTCATTCATGTAATTTTAATTTATTAATTATTGAACTGCAATATGTGTTTCATTAAAGAACAAATTTTAACATTTTATCCGAGGTTTTTTTCCGTGATTTGACTGTGTGAAGGGACTCTTGCAGACATATTAGAATTTTTTATTTATTCAGCTGCTTATTTATTGATGAGGAGGAGGGAAAGGCTTTAGCTGAGGGGGGATATGCAGCTTTTAAAAGCAGCTTTGAATGGCCTGTGCTTATTTTAGAGCGAATATTAAACTTTTTTTTTAAGTTTAACCAAATCGTGACTATTGGTTTAAAGAAAACATATAGCATGTCCAATCCATGTTTTTTTTTTATGTCATTAATATCATAGTCGCGACTGAATATGCAGCCTAAAAGAAAATCTAATTAAAAATTTCTTTTTTTTTTTTTGCCTTCTCACTATCCTCCGGGGCTCTTAACAAGGGCCACTTTCTCCCGGCTGCATCAGTGTTAAAGACACACGTGGCTCCTGCGGTGACGCGCTGCCAGCCAGGAGCACATATGCGGCTCACTGTTGCCTTTACCTGAGAGCAAATGCTAATATTCTATTAGAGCTTAATCAGGGGGTCTGTGGAGAGCTGGATGGGTCCCTGGAGCACAGAGTTGCCAGATGTCAGCCCGCCAGAAAAACAGCTCGCCTGCCAACGCGCCCGTCTCTCTATTTGAATGCGCAGTCAAACATCATGCCTCCACCGCGCTCAGGCTTTGAAGCAAAACCTTTTGGTTCGAAGTTATGCTTAGATATGGAGAGGAGGAGGGGAGGACAAAAAAAAAGAGATATTTTGAATGTCATGTCCATATCAGAGCTGCTGGAATTGGGCTTTAGGGCGCCTTGACTTAGCGCCGAACAAGCGTTTCAGCCCCAAGGACAGCTCCATAAAAGAGGCAAGGGCCAAATATCGCCATCATCAGTCATTTATCTATAGAACAAACACATAAATAAATAGATTTAAAAACTATTTACTTAGAGGATTAGATAATGCTACTAGATGTTAAAATATTTCGATATTGAATAATTTTTTTCTCACTATTTTTTTTATTGTATAGATTAATTTACGGGGAAAAACATCATTTTGAATGCATTATCACAATCTGAACTTTAATAATTAAAAAACAAAGTCTATAAAGGTAAAGTGAATCCCTTCCATGTGATCGGTTTTGCATTTATTCTGTTATTTACGTATTTATGTGCGTTGTTATGAAACTTTAAAAGTGAAAACTTAATTATTTATGCTAATTTTATAGTTAGCAATAGTTCTAAAATAGGGAATCTGCTCAGTTACTGAGCACTTGTTTTAGCACCATGGATCTCATTCAAATATCAAATTTCACAGGCTTGTAGTTTAACTAGACTCATTCAAATGTTGCAACCAACGTCTGACAATATTTACTTGTTCTAAATTGGTGAAAAATGAGTAACATAGTTAAAATGACAGATTGCTCCACCAAATTCTTAAAAAGAAACTGTTTCCCAGTAATGCTGGGTAGTGGGGTAGTGCAGAGTTGTTGGGAAATGTTGGTCAGTCTTTTTTTATTATTTTTTTTTAACGAGATAAATCTTTGGTGAGTTAGAATATTCCATATATATCCCTGAATGTTTCTCCATCTATAGCAAATGAGCGCAAATTGCTCAACAGCGCCACCAAGGTGGCAATGATGTTTTATGGCGGTTTGATAAACCCCGCATCTCCCCCCAGTCACGCAGCCATGTAGTACTACTACTCCCACTACTACCAGTTTAAAGTAATATTAGCCATTTTAAGATCCTTACAGGTCATAAATCCAACACTGCTATTATAGACATAGATTCACATATAATAATAATATATTATGTATTTATATAATAATGTCAGCTGAAAAGTATTCAGGAATGTGAGATCTAATGGTAACATCTCCCATCTGTTAATCATAAGGTCTCCATAACAACCAGCCACCAGCCAAACATGCTCCACCGCCACCCTAGTGACAAATTAAGAGGAATCAAAACGAGGTCTTATTAATGAGACGATGCTGATGGTTCATCGGTTTAAAGATGCTCCTGGTGAGCCCCTCTAATCCCCCCCATCCAAAAAAAGAGAGAGAAGCTCACTTAATGCGTTAATAAGAGCGAATTATTAAATTACACATCGACTTATGAAAAGCAGATAATTATGAAGCGCCAGTTAAGCAGTCATTAGCCATCCCTGTTAATTACCGCTGGTCAGGGGAGGGCTGCAGAGTGAGGGTCTCATCGGGAATTGAAATTAACTTCATCCCGGCGCTCTGCTGGTTGACATGGCGGAGCTCAGGCGGAGAGAGGAGCAGATTCCCAACCAGACTGCTGGCTTCGCTTTCACGTGTTTGGGCGAAAATCGATTCAGATTTCATGTATTTATTTATTCCTAAAGCGAATCAATGTGACTCCAGCACCCACGATATAAAACCGCGTGATATTTCTCCCTCTCTCTCTTTTTTGATCTCCAGCACTTGGTATTTTTTCAGCATTGGCTTCATACAGTAAAACATTTACACAGAAACATGCAGCATTGGAAGCTTTCTGCAAAACAAGAAGGGGCAGCTCTGTTTCCTTTTGTCATAATTACGCCCCTATGTTTTATTTTTCTCCCCCCCTCCTGAACATTTCCCTCTTTCACAGGGATGCTGATGAAATTTTAATGAAGCCAGGGACTGTCGGAGCTCCGCCCGGGGACCTGAGAATAGAATATTTTAACTGTACATTTACGCCAAGTGTCTGCCTTCAAAGACGCGGCTGCTGCTCTCGAATTAGATGAACTGGGAGCCATAAAGTGAGCGCGCTGCAGACTGCAGGCCCCTACAAACCCCGTGTATTTATCATGGAGTGGAGCTGGCTGCTTTACGCTGCGCACCAACCCGTCACATGGCGGCTGGAATGGGAAGTGGCAATCGCCATTTGATTTCGTCGCCAATCGGTTGTTGTCGATGCAATATTAATCAGCCATCAATAGTCATTAGTTTGTTAAGTGTTTTGCCAGAATCTAATCGATGGAGGCTGGAAGAAAGCTGCTGGGGTACTTTCTAATCTGTAAGGTGGCATACAGAGGGTGGGAAAGGCACAGTTTCTCTGCCAGTCGAGCAGCTCTTTACTCATAATAAAATCACGCATGCAAGAACGCAACAGCCCAAAGGCAAACTGATAAACTGGAGCTGACGCCAAAGAGGCCTTGGTAATGCTTAGGCCTGTGCTCCAACTAGAAGACACTTGAAATACTTCGCTCCTCTTTCTTAGGCATAAACGATGAAAAATTGTGGTAAATGTCATATTTGAAGACATAACTTCTAACACAAATACATACTACCACCACTTTTTAGCGCGTGGGGGCAATTTTAAAGAAGTTAAAGTTTTTTTTTTTTTTTTTTTTTTGATTAACTGACCCTAATGAGAGCATCTTATTTTATTCCACTGAATTCTCTATTGTTTTTATTTTTTATTATCTTTTTTGAAACTCTGAAATTCAACCTTCTTCCGATTAAGAAAAAACAGAATAAAACAGAATATTTCCCCCTGATAATAATAATATTGACAGTAATAACAAAAGTTCAGATGTAGGCCTATAATTTGAAATTTTATCGGTTTAAAAAAAAAAAAAAGGGCTACACCTCATCTTTTTGGACAATAAAGTATTTCCTTTAACTAATAAAATTAACACATTTATGAACATATATATATATATATATATATATATATATATATATATATATATATATATATATATATATATATATATATATATATATATATATATATAGGCTGTGGTCACTCTTGGAGTAAAGATGTAAAAATTCAT